AGGTATTTCTAACCTAGCATGCTACACATAATGCAAATAAGGCAGTTTGAGCAAGTAAAACAATTAAGTCAATTAGACATTCTTCCCTAAGCTAACAGCAGGCTTAAATTGCAAGTAGTATAAAACAGGAAGGGAAACACAATTAAAGTTACTTAATGAAAACTGGATTTTCAACAATTAGCACAAGTACGCACTCATCACCTCACGTACAAGGTATTTCAAATATCAACAATACCAAATCCTAAAGGGAGTTCCCCCACATAAAGTTAGGCAAGCCACTTACCTCGAACCGGCTCAAAATCAACCCGAAACCACGTTTTTGCCACGAGCACTCGACTCCAAATGGCTCAAATCTATTCAATTCAATTGCACAATATAAATATAACTTCAAGTAACTGATTCCACAAATAAATTCTAAGCTAATACGCGAAATTTGGTAAAATGACCAAAATGTCCCCCGAGCCCACGTCTCGGAATCGGGTAAAATTTACAGATTATGAACCCTCATTCACTCACGAGTCTAACCATACCAAAATTATCCAAATCCAATGTTAAATTCCCAATCAAAACTCAAAAATTTAGTCTAAGAACTTTTCCAAAATTTTCCCCAATTTCTCACCCTAAATCCGAAATTAGATGATGAATTCATTTTAGATTAATGAGTTATAAGCAAAAAGGAGTTAAGAATCATTACCCAATCGCTATCTCTGAAAATCCCTCAAAATCCCGCTCAAATCCGAGCTCCCAAGCTCTAGTTTTGATAAAAATGGCCAAACCCTCGACCTTGAAATTTTATCTTTTGCCCGGATTAATCCTTCTTTGCGAACGCGGAAGGACCCTCGCGTTCGCAAAGCACAACTTCGCTTGGTCCAGTCTTCCTTCATCGCGAACGCGATGTCCCTGTCGGGAACGCGGTGACCATCTTTCCCCCTCCTACGCGAACGCGGGACCATTTTCGTGAACGCGTAGGTATGAGACCACACAGCCTCGCGAACGCGAAGCATTAAACTTCCACCAGCACCATCTCCTCTTTGCGAATGCGAGACCCCACTCGCGAAAGCGAAGAAGGAAACCAGAACTGACCTGCTGCAATTTTTCTGCAAATTCTCTAAGTCCAAAAATGGTCCGTTGAGCATCCGAAACACACCCGAGGCCCCCGGGACCTCAACCAAACATGCCAACCAAACCTAAAACATCATTCAAACTTGTTCCAACCTTCGGAACGCTCAAAACAATATCAAAACACCAATTTAACATCGGATTCAAGCCTAAGAACTCCAAAAACTCTCAAATTACGCTTTCGATCAAAAAGTCTATCAAACATCGTCCGAATGACCTGAAATTTTGCAAGCACGTCACATTCAACACTACGGAGCTATTCCAACTTCCGGAATCTCATTCTGACCCCGATATCAAAATCTCACTATCGAACCGCAAACTTCAAAAATTCAACTTTCGGCATTTCAAGCCTAAATAAGCTACGGACCTCCAAAACATAGTCCGAACATGCCCCTAAGCCCAAAATCACCCAATGGAGCTAACGGAACCGACATAATTCCATTCTGAGGCCGTCTTCACACTGCTCCGATTGTGGTCCAAATTCTAAAGCTTAAGCTCTTTTTTAGGGACTAAGTGTCCCAAAACACTCTGAAACTCAAAACCAAACATCACGGCAATTCAAAACAGCAGAAACAAACAAGGAGAAAGCAGTTAATAGGGGATCGGAACGTAATTTCTTAAAACGACCGGCCGGATCGTTACAAAAGTCCAGCATATGACATCTATACTAGTTTACCTCTTCAATTCTTATCTTCTGTTGTAACTTCAAGTCAATATGTGGCAGCTCCTTTCGTGTAGAATGTAATTTGACAAAATTAAAACACAGTGAGTTGGCTTCAAAGAACAGACGATTCAAAGATTCTTCCAAGTCAGCCTCCAACTCAAACAAAAAACTCACAATCAGATTTCAGTAATCAGCAACTCCGCAATTTAAATTCCAATCACAGAGTCGTAAACAATCTGCAGTTGGAACAAAAATTTTAATTACCCCAAACTCTTCAACCCTTGGCTCGTTCAATTTCACTCAGATAAACACCAAATCACACGAAGCTCAAACAACGAGACCAATTAGATTTTCACAATTTTTAGATTCAAAATGGCAAACCACTGACACAACAAATGCTTGAACTTTGGCTTAGTATATGTCTGAAGTTTAGTCGCATATGTATGAAATTTGGCTATGGCAACCTAAACTTTTGTCTCAAATCTGTAGTTTAGATAAAAATATCTGTTTGCCTGCACCAGCAATATGTCAAACTTCAAGCAAAATTTGTAACTTCCTTCAGTTGTGTATGTTTGAAGTAGTGACTGAAACGGCTAGACTTGCAAAAATTTATGTACTTAATCAATTGGCTATCTGTGCACATCCCTCGACAAATAATCAATTTTTTTCCTAATTATTATTACAGATTAGAGATAAGTATAATTTCGTAAATCCTAAAGAAAATTACTTTGAAGAAACCAAACATTAGTGGTGCTTGCAATTATTCCTATAATCAATCAAAGAGAAAATTTACTGTATCGAGGGCTCAAATTATTTGTTTTGTTTGTTTGAGTGGTTATTAATCTTCGAGGGCTCACTTAACTAACGCAAAAGCTTTATTATAACAGATCCATTTAAACAATGCAACTCATTTGTCTCTTTACACGTTTTGCTTTTAAATGATGTTTTTATCTTAATTTTGTCTAAAATACAGTATCATTTTAGACTAATTATGTGACTAGCGTCTTATAATTCACACTAACAATGTGACACGTAAAAATTTCCATCAATCACCAATTGTACATCATTTCTCGATAGTGCTTTCGCCTGTTAATTGTGAAGATATTGCTCGTAATTGGGGTCACTGCCGACAATTATTAGTGAGTTAATCCGCTGACTTGGACGGGGTAAATTTGGTTCCAAGAGGGGAAGCAAAACGTATCAAAAATAACCCCCACTATTAAGCTTGAACTCAACTTCTACTTTAATATTCTAAAGGGAGGCACTAATTCTAACTTTATTTATTTCATGATGATTATGACTATATCTTAACCCCCAGTTCCTTTTTTTTTTTCTTAAATATATTTTTTATTTTCCTTTTTTTTCTTTAAGGAGAAAAAACCACTCATGCAATAAAAGTAATTAACAATCATAATCATAGGTTCGTGAATTTTGCAGAATCAAATATTTGCCGACAATTATTAGTGAGTTAATCCGCTGACTTGGACGGGGTAAATTTGGTTCCAAGAGGGGAAGCAAAACGTATCAGAAATAACCCCCACTATTAAGCTTGAACTCAACTTCTACTTTAATATTCTAAAGGGAGGCACTAATTCTAACTTTATTTATTTCATGATGATTATGACTATATCTTAACCCCAGTTCCTTTTTTTTTTCTTAAATATATTTTTTATTTTCCTTTTTTTTCTTTAAGGAGAAAAAACCACTCATGCAATAAAAGTAATAAACAATCATAATCATAGGTTCGTGAATTTTGCAGAATCAAATATTTGTGGATTAAACCTTACATGTGTGCGAAAACAAGTGTGTATTTTTGGTATGATGGAAATTATTTTCTAGAAAAAATATATCCAATGAAAATATTTTCTGAAAATTATTTTTCAGTATTTGGTGACTGAGAAATATCTTTCAAAAAATTATATATCAACGTTTAATAATATTATTAACAAATTAAAGAGTGGTTTGGTTAAATTGTTAATAAAAAAGATTAATTAATAATGATATTTAAGTGTAAGTTTTGAAGTAAATATTATGAAGTTAAGGGATACTATAGTTTTAAGAAAAAGTTTAAATATCGCACTAAACACATTTAAATTAAAATATATATTTCAAAACCATCTTAACAACTTTGGATAAGTGGATGAGATTTGACGCGTCTATTGAAGTATCCTACCTACCAAACTATATTAGTGGTAGGGGTAGCAAAACGTGATTCATCAATTTTCCTTGTCATTTTCGTTTTTACCAACAATAGAATACACACGTCATATTCAAACTTATAAAATTGATAATGTGAGCATGATTTTAAAAAATCAAACACGTGAAGGGCTAAATTTTCTCTAAGAAGGGCAGCAAACGTATCAAAAATACCAACCCCCACTACCGAGCCTGAAAGCAACTTCTTTTTTAATATTCTAAAGCAAGGCAATAATTTCTAACTTATTGCTTTCATGATAATAATTAAAACGTTATGTTGATTCCGTGTTACTTTTTATATATTTCCTTCTTTGTCTTTAAGGAACAACAAAAATCATACATATAATAAAATAATTAGTAAACACCTTAAGGTGCTTGGATAAGATTGGATGCATGAAGTGATCAAATATCAAATTTACACCATCGAGGACTGTGGTGAGGGTTGAAATTCATTCGCCTTAATCACAAATTTTTGTTCAAATTCCGAAAATGAAAAATCTTTCAATAAAGAATAGTTTACCTATCTGACACCAATATAAATTAGTTGGGTTAGTTAGTTTAGAATACCGAATTGTTAAATTTTTTTTTTTTAAAAAAAACTACTGGTAGTCCACGTGATTCAAAAGTCGGGTTTTTCAATCTCGATTTGGTTTATAAATTTAAAAACCCGATACAATTGGTGATATAATTGGTTTGATTTCGTAATTGAAAATCCCGAACAAACACGACCTATGTACACTCCTAACTAGCACGAACATGATTCAACAATTTGCCTTCTGATTTTTCTTTTTGCCAGCACAGAATACAGTCAGTGTACGCCAACACATATTAAGATATAGACTATTAGAACATCACTAGCAGAGGTGGAGCTAGCGTGTGAGGTACGAGTTCAGCCGAACCCAGTCACTTTTGCTTAAACACTGTATTTGTACTAGAAAATTTATTAAATATGTATAAATATTTAATTACGAACCCAGTAACTAAGACGACTATGAATTCTGTGACAAATTTAGAACCCATAAATTTTAAATTCTGGCTCCACCTCTAATCACCAGCCCTTTGATATAGAGCATCAAAGTACTAATAACTCTTGATATACAATATCACAAACTTTAAATCACATTACAAATTCAAACATACAACCAATGTAATGAATACAAACACTAATAAATGAAACAGCCTGTCCAGAATTCTGTACTGAAGCACGCAAAATTCACGAAAACTTAACAAAAAAAATACAGCTTTAAAAGTAACACATCTTGATTCATAGGAACCAGCAACATTAGCAGAAAGAGAAGTTCCACATCTTTACCTGTCAAGAATACAGTAGGAAAAAGATTGCACGTATAAGATATGACTTTTTAGCAAATTGGCATAATACTCAAAGAAAATCTTGTATTTACACCAAACCAATCATAACATAATATATGTCTTTTATATACAATTTTATCACTTAATTATGGTTAAAAAATGTGTGCTTTCAGTTTAATTTATTATTTAATCATGATAAAATTATAATTTATTATAAAAATCGATCGGGTGTAACAATAAAAATTCCATGCTACTACTCCATCCTTCAAGATAAAAAGTATTTATTTTGAAAAGGAAAGAAAGATAAAAGTATTTCATATATTCCGGGGGGGGGGGGTGTTGCGGTATGTGAAGTAGAGGTGGAGAATTTGAGTAAAATTACCATGTGCATCACTCGTTCTTGGTAAGGACCCAAATAGCATAAATAATACCAGGCAGCCATCCAAAGAGAGTCAGCAAACAACAGATCCAGAATTCACACTGTTTTTATCAATTAACACAAACACAACCATAAGTAACGTTATCAGGTTAAAGTTTTTACACACACAAGTAAACAACCTGCGGTTATAATCATAAAGTTTCCGAATTCCCTTTTCACTATCATGAACGACGATGTTTTGGAGTCATACTACGTCAATGAGCAGTAATTTTTCATCTTTCACTTCTTGGCAGGGTGTTATTTGTTTTTTTTTTTAATTTTAACAAGACTAGAGTTCCTCTCGAGACAGTCGAGCCCCGTTATAACTTATAACCACAGTATTACAAATTCGAATCCTAAAAAAGCTATATATATCTAGTTGCTTGTCCTACAACTTTACTATGATGTAAAAGATAAAAAAGTTGGACAAGATACATACACCAAAACATTAGGGATGTAACTTTATATACACTGATAATGTAAAACTTATGCATCACAGATCAACACTGCACGACTTATTACAGAACTAAAACAGAGAATTGAAGGATACCTTGCAGCCAAATTTGAGGAAGACACCAAGGGGAGGTAATATGATGGCCAAAAGAATGTCTATGCAAGTCATCGCACCCATATTTTTTATTATTCAATAGAAATTACACAGGAAAAGAAGAAAGGACAAGGGGCATATACTGGGGAAAGAGGATATTAAGGACTGGCCAAAGTGATTTCACAGAAACTGAAATGGGAAAGTGGCTGCTGATATATAGGGAAAGGAGATACCCCACGTCCATGTGTTGTATGTTTATTCGATAAAAGACGATATTTTTCTATGTTTACGCGGAGGCTTCTTGTTACCTTAATCTCATCACTTCTTTTACTTTCCTGGTTTGCCTTTCTCATCACTTCTTGTAATTTTAAATTTGCATAATCTTTTTATGATTGTAAAAACATATCATTATGGGTCAGATAAAAAAATTTAACATTATTTTTAAATACCTAGAAATGTTTTTTTTAGAACAAATTAATAAAAAAAGTAATATCACATAAAAGAAATAGATACAATTTCCGCTAAAGAAGTCTCAATTTCTCCGTCTTTCCTCTGGTAATGGTTGCTTTGAACACTTGCTTTGTAAATTTCAAATTAAAATCCAACAGCTCATTCTCATTTATCTGGACAACAACGTTAGGTTTAGGCTGTCCCATGTGGCCCCATACGTCTTTATTTATCATCATCTTCTTATGGCCGAACACACCAATTGAATCTTTCTGGATGGCACTGGACTCTGTACCTTTCAACGTTCCAACTCTCAATGTAGACACTAGCTTGAAAAAAAAAAAGAATCACTTACACTTGGTATTTATACGAACTATTATTAATCAACAAACGACATGCATCTTTAATATACAATTTTATTGTTTAACCAGAGTTAATGTTATTCCCGAGCCGAGGGTCTATTGGAAACAACTTCTCTATCCTCACCAGGTAGGGGTAAGGTCTGCGTACACAGTACTCTCCCTAGACTCCACGGTGCGGAATAATACTGGGTATACTATTATTGTAATCAGAGTTAATGCTATATATTTTTATCTTAATTTGTCATTTAATCGTGCTAAATTAATACGATGTAGTGCAACATCAAATATAAGTAACTATTTTACTTTCACTGTTGACGCACACATAAGCTCCACATAAGTACGAAGTACTTTTGTATAAAAAGGTAATTTTAAATTAAGATCAAGGAATTTGTATCCTCCTTGGTGTTATGACCGTGTAAAAAGGTGGATTAATCAAAATTGAACACTTGCCTCATTTTGTACAACATTTTAGGTATTTAGCCACTCCTGAAAAGTGTGGCTTAAACTATCAAAAAGTGTGGCATTTGACCAAAAGCCACACTTTTCAACTTTAAGCAACGCTCTTCTAGGGCTGACCTAAACTAACATAACATTTTCCCTAAGACAACACTTTTTAAGTGTTGTTTTAAAGGCCACGCTTCAAAAGTGTGGCTTACAAGGTACAAATGCTACGCGTGTAATACCTCGTGTGGCAACATTTTTCATGTTCTAAGGCTACATGTTTAAATCGTTTCCTTTTCTACCTTGAGGCCACCCTTATAAAGTGTTGCCTTTGATAATAATTTCATATATCTAGTAATCACATTTATCATCATATGTATATATTATTATCATAAATTTTGAGATTATTGCAAAAGTAAATAGATCTCAAACACTACATTAATCAATATATAAATAACCAAAAAAAAGATTCAAGCTATCACGACCCAAAATTCAATTAGTCGTGATGACACGTAACTCAACCCGCTAGGTAAGCCAACTAACAACTATCCAATTCCCATGAAATTAATAAAATAATTAAATAAAGAAGTTAACTGAATCTTATACATTCCCCAAGGACTGGTAGCACAAATCATGAGCTTCTAAGAATAGAATTTACAGAGCCGGTATAAAATAAATACATCACCCATTCTAAAAGTACATAAACAGATCTTTATGAATCTAAGGCTACCATGAACAGGAGGTAGCACAACTGAAATGCAGGTACATCTTATAATCCAGCTCCCGTCGAACATAACAACATCAGCATCCAACATCTGCAGCAAGGTGCAAAAGTGTAGTATGAGTACAACCGACCCATGTACTCGATAAGTAACAAACCTAACCTTAGGTTGAAAGTAGTGACGAGCTAGAACAAAGGTCGGGTCCAACACATATAGCCAACAACAATTCATAATAACGTAATACAAGTAATAAAAGAAGTAACTCAGAATTTAAAATGCTCAGCTTATTCATAGTTCCCGAAAATAGTTCCGCTTTTCAAGTATATCAGTGAAAACCCAAATTTTTACCGAAATTGTCGAAAAATAAGAGTAACTTTGAAAACTGTAATTTTTCCCAAAAATCTTTCAACAGGTAAATGTCATTTTCAGATAGCATGACGAACGTACATCTCTATGCCTACATGTCAAGATACTGGTAAAATCATGACTGTCACCAAAACCAGGTAGCAGAAGGAATTGTATCTCTATGCATGTATCTCAAGTACGCATGTCAAATGAAATGCCTCTTAGTGATGAACTCATGTACTCACACTCTCAGAGTACTCAATCTCATTGTCTCAAATTCTCTCTACTATGCTCAATACTCAGCACACTCAATTACTCAGCACTGTATGATACTCGCTGCGCGTGTGCAAACCGATCCACATATATATAGCCATAAGGCTCATTGCGGCGTGCAACCCGATCCATATACATATATAGCCATAAGGCTCGTTGCGGCGTGCAACCCGATCCCCTATATATATATAAAATCAACTGCGCTCACTAGGGATGTGTGCAGACTCCCAAGGGGCTTCTTTAGCCCAAACGCTATATTGTTGTGCTACCGGTCCTTTTATTTATTAGAGCCCCATTTCCCCTTTTGGAATTTCCCGCTTGTAATTATGGTTATGTAACTTGCAGGGATGGTTGGTTTGATTTCGGAGAGGTTTTGGATTGAATTGGAACACTTGGTTTTTGGTTTGAAAGCTTAGGTTGGAAGTATGAGCGAGGTTTGACATTTGTGAAAACTTCCAAGAATGGTATTTTGATGTTTCCAATAGGTTCGTATGGTGATTATGGATTTAGGAATATGCTTGGAATTGAATTCAAAGGTTCCTAGGCTGAATTGGCTTTTTTTGTTGCCAAAAGTAGGCAATTTTAAGGTTTAGAAATTTTCTAAGTTTTACCTTGAGTTAATTTTATGGCTATCGGGTTTGTATTGTAGTTTTCAAACATGGAATAGGTCCATTTTTTCATTTAGAACTTGTGTGAAAAGTTTGGTATCATTCTGAGTTTGTTTGGTAGGAAGTGAATGTTTGGTTGTGATTTTAACAATTCTTGAGTTTTATTGTGAATTCTATGTGTTTTGGTGCCAGATTCGTGGTTTTGGATATTATCTTGGTATTTTGAGTTCGCAAGAGAGTTCATATGATATTTTTATACATGTTTGGATGTTTGGTATGGATCCTCCGGGGCTTGGCTGAGTTTCGGGCATGATTCAGAGTAATTTGAACTATTTCCGATGTTGTTGGTTTTTGGGTTGATGCTGGCACAAATATGATATCATGTTCGCATTTGAGGACCTAGCATTTGCAAGGTGGGTATTGCATTTGCGAGTCTCGCTAGTGTTGGGGTGTTTGCTTTTGCGGGATTTTGGATCGCATTTGCGATGAGGCATCTGGCCAGGGATGACTGCATTTGCAATCAAGGGGTCACTTTTGCAAAGAGGACTGACTTTGCAAATGCGAAGTCTATGTCACTTTTGCAACATTCCCTAGGCTCAGCAAGCATCGCACTTGCAAGCAAATGGTCGCTTTATCATATTTTTTGAGTCCTAGACTCAGTGAAAGGTGATTTTAGGAGGGGATTTTCATACAAATCTATTGGGTAAGTGATATTGACTCCATTTTTATATTATAACATGATTATTTATGAATTTTAACATATAATCCTTGAGGTTTGAAGAGGAATTTTGGGGGATTTTGACTATGTTTTGAAAAATAAAAATTTGAGAATTAAGAGTCATATTGGACTTGGATTTGAAGACCAAAAGCATATCTGGACTCTTGGGGTTATGGGTAGTCGTGATCTACCTTTCGGCTCTTGTTTTAACCGAACGGGCCCGAGGTTAACTTTTGAAAAATTATGTAAAGATATTAATTTTATTAATCAGAGTTGGTTTCTCTTGCATTGTTTGATGTTATTAAGTTATTTTTGAATAGATTTGAGCCGTGTGGAGGTGAATTTTAAAGGAAAAGAATATTTAGATTACTGATTGGAGCTATTTGAGGTAAGTATCTTGCCTAACTTTGTGTGGGAGAATTTACCCTTAGAATTTGGTCTAATTTACACTAGATATGCTATGTGAGCAACGTGTATATACTGTGGGTGTATGTGTGGAAATTGACTGAATTAGACCTTAGTCTATTAATATGCCTTGAATTGAGATTATTTGTTATATGAAACATGCCTTCCTGTTGAAAAATTCGTGTACCCTTATATTATTGATATGATTCTTGTATGCATTGTTGTGGAGTCGTGGGCTATATCTTGTTGTGACTTTGGTATGGTTATGTTTGGTGACATTGTTGCACTTGGGCACGTGTTGTGCGAGATGATTGTTGTGTTGTGAATGAGAAGCGCATGCTGCGAGATAAGGGAGGCATTCCATTGTTAATATGCATGCGAAGAGATAAGGATGGCTATTTATGTGCATGCGGCGGCATAAGGGCGACATTCCACTGTTAATGTGCATGCGGCGACATAAGAGTGGCATGGCGGAGATTGCTATGAGATATATCGGGGGTGATTCTTCTTATTGTTCATGTGTTGGAATAGAGGGTTGATGTTTGACCAGATTCTTGTTTTCATTAAATGACTTCCCATTGTGTTTTTATGAGTTGTTGGTGGAATTTGATATATTATCACATGCCCCGACCCCATTGATATTTTGTTGGCAAAGCCGGAATATTCCATATTGAGTTGTTGTTACACATTCTTCGAGGTGGTTAATATTTGTTTTGTTATGGTTTCCGTTGTCCATTTATGTTGATAACTCGCACAGATTATTTGACTAGTGAGTGTCTTGACTTGAATCTTATCACTACTCCACCGAGGTTAGTCTTGACACTTACTAGGTACCGATTGTAGTGTACGCATACTACAATTCTGCATATTTT